GGACCGGATTACTGCTTTTTATTTGTGTATTCCATCATGTACAATTTTTCCTCAAAAAGATACCAACCTTACATTTACATATACATTTATTTACTGCTGTTGTTCAAAATAACAAATACAGGCTGTACATGTATGTTCTTTTTTTTTAAATGTAACACAACTGTTCTACTTTATGCAAAGTGTTAGCACTATATAAATCCTGTACAATAATAGTAATAATAATAATATTATTATTACTATTAATAATAATTAAAATATACAATTGATGTAATATCCTTAGCAAAGCTCTTTCCCTATATTATATATATATATAAGAAAAAAAAATTATGGACACATTTTTATTTTGATTCTTGATTTGTGTTCAAGTATAAAAAAAAAGCTGATGTGTTTGGGACGCCAGAAGGAAGAATTATTCTTCTGATTCGCCACAAAAATCTATTAACGGTATAACAGTAACACAGGAAATGTGTATAAAGGTTTTGTATACCTCTATGGTACAATTCTAAGTTAGAGGAAGTATATAAGCTGACTGGGTTTGGAAATTGGGAACAAAAAGGGCTGACGTATATACACCAAGTTTACGAAGGTACAACAATTCAAACTTTCTCAGAGTGACAAACGCACTATAAGCTACACAAATCATGTTTTTACCAGTATTTGCAATTACGTCATGCACTGCAGACGCAGAACCGCATATCGGAAATTATATGTAACGCGCCCTCCTGGATGAAGCTGCTAGCCCAAGCTAAGGGTGGAAAACGAGGTATTGTAGCAAAAATGTATCACAAATTGTTAAAAGGGGGATAGAAGTAATGTCGTTTTTCGAGGGCAGAAGGGATGGCACCAGGATATTGGGGAGTTGAAGAAGGAAGAATGGTAAAAAGCAATGAAAATAGTAAATAGACTGTTCACTGTCGGCTACACATAGATTGACACAATTATTTATTTTACACCGTGCATACCGCACACCAAAGCAATGATTTCAACGGGGTTATATGCAAGATCCCGCTTGTAAAAGGTGTGGCCATTTAGAAGGCACATTAATACACTTATTATGGCACTGTCCTAAATTATTTCGATATTGGAAGAATATAATTAAAGTGATAAATTATATATATATATAAATTATATATACAGTGTATTTGTGTGCGCGTCTGCATTTGTAAATGCAGCATGAGAAAAAAAAGTGTTGCTACAATGTCATTAAACATTTGAAATCATTCATAAAAACCGTCCCCTTTTCTTAGGTATACATTTTTGGGTTTTGTTTTAGTCTTGGTTTTGGTTTAGTCCACATTTTTTCCTAAATGTGACAATTTTGTTCTCATTTTTCAAAAGACTTTTCACCAGTTTAACTGTTTTCCAGCTCTGCTTTATTAATACATGAAAACAGGGTGAATTCATCCAGAGTTTAACCTAAAGAGCTTTAAATAATTCAGATCATAACAGAGGAACAATAATAAAATTCTCATAAATAAGTGTTGTTGCTTTTTTTTCAATTCAACTGAGAATTAAAAACATTCCCTGTGTTTTCCTTCCATAAGCTTTATTATTTTCCAAATTATATAACATACAAAATGTATACAAAAATGTATACAAATATAAGGGAATAAATAAATAACAAAAAAAAACGACACCACATAATTATCTTTTGGGCTCATATTATACTATGATTCTTGCTATTTTAACAAACATGTGATTTACCAGTGAGTTATCATTTATCCCTTCTTCAGCCATTCTTTCCAGAGTTCCGTGAATTTCCCTGCTTTTCCTCTATGCCAAAATAATAACTTTCCCCTTCCCAACATTATATTAACCATTTTAATCCAGTGCTTATACATAGATGGACTAGGTGAGATCCATTTCAGTTTTCTAGCCATAAAAACCAACCTAGTAATGGACAATTTCTGAGATCTTGTGCCTAAGTCCTCTGGCAGAATTCCCAGAACACAAATACTCGGGTCCATCTCCAGGTTAATTGAATATATTTTATTTGTCCAATTTGATTTAAATAGTTGCTTTCCTCTATAGATTTTTTTAAACAATAAAATTAACAGTTTTTTAAAAAAGTTGAAAATATTCAATTAATATGCATTAAATGTTCCGGGTTTTTTTTTTTGTTTTTTTTTAGCAAAATATATCTGACAGCAATATAAAATGCCTTTATTTTGTTTTGGCAGGAACACACTATTCTTCATAATTTTATTTTTTTATTAAGAAGCTTTCAATTTATTTGTAACAACACACAAATTATTGCTGGTGAGCCTAACTCTTGATTATTGATATGTAGGGTTAAAGAAACAAATTTGAATAGCAGAATTATCTCTAGTACTTGGTAGAAATAACCCTATACCCTGCAGTATTATAACAAT